GCTGTTTTCCAGGTATGAAGACAAAAAAAATCTATTATAAACTGTCCAAAAACTCAGAAGTTTTAATCTGGCATCTCATATTGAAATATTTTCTTGAAGATCCATTCTACTAACTGATAATTAAATTATGCCAGCAATTGAATAACATAGATCATTTTATGCACCATGCATCAATTCTCTTTTGTCTAGTTTGAACTTGCACTCCATGAATCAACAAAAATATTTGCAGTCAGGTTTGTGCAATCCAAGTAGACTTTAACTAGAAGAGCTGTGTGGTGACTCCTTAGTATCCTCTCCAGGATCACCATGCAAAGAGTATTTCTAAAAACTGCTTCCTATTTAGATCTGTATGACATTTATTGTCACATTTGTTTACCAATAAATACTGATGTTCTGCCCAAGTACTTAATTATAATTAAACATGACATATTTGGGACCCTATGCCAAAAGACATATGAACTTAATTTATTCTATTTTGCATTAAAACACAAAGCTGGGCATGGTGGCACATGTCTGTACTCCCAACAACTGGGAGGCTGTGACAGGAGGAATTCATGTTTGAAGCCAGCCTCAAGCAACTTAGCAAGACCCTGTCTCAACATTTAAAAACACAATAGTTGAGGAGCACTGGGGATGTGACTTAGTTAAGCACCCCAAAATTAAATAAAACATGTTACAAAAAAATGGTAAATTCTTTCCCAAGGATATTGCAAAATGAAAGTGTGTAATCTTAACACATTATTTATTTATGATCTAAAATACTATCTTTTAAGTCGGGAATGGTGGTGCATACCTGTAATCCAGTGTCTCTGGAGGCGGCAAAAGGATCTTGAGTTCAAAGCCAGCCTCAGCAACTTAATGAGACCCTAAGCAACTCAGCAAGACCTTGTCTCTAAACAAAATACAAAAAAGGCTGGGGATGTGGCTCAGTGGTTAAGTAGCCTTGAGCTCAATCCTGGATACCAAATAAGTAAATAAATAAAAATAATACCTTTTAAAATGAAACAAAAATCAATAAAATCATTCACTCTCGTCATTATAGAGTTCAGATAAATGCCTAGAATAAACACATTTCATTAAAATTATTTTATAGTTAAGAATAAAAAATAGTAATTTTATATTGCATGATTTAGAGAGATTATAGAATATATGTCTTAATAATGATTCCAATATTAATAATCATTGTCAGCCATTATTTCAGATATACCAATAATAGATAGTAAAGGCAATATTCAATGCAAATAGTTTCCAGAGAACCAATAGAAGAATATACCTTTAACAAGAGATTAGTAAGCTTCATACTGTAATTGGGAGCATTGCTAAGTGTAAACAAAATCTGTTTAATCTTTTCTTCATTGAGGACCACATTACTCATCGTATCACTTTTGTCCTGCTAGGATTTATTTAAGTTGAATTTCTTCCTGATGACAAATTAGAACTACTAAAGTTCCTGCTGCAAACCTAAGGTAAGAAATTTGTAAACCTCATGAAAATCAATGTAGAATGTACATTTGGACTTATTCTATCTTTTCTTCTAAAACAAATATCAATCATTATAAGCTTTTGGGTTAATATTTGGTTTATTTCATTGCTTCCACTTAAAAACTTTTAAGTTCTATTCTGAAACAATTTGCAGGGGGTTTTCTACCCAGGTTTTATATCTCAAAATTAATTGTTAGTTGTCAAGGGAAATGCATTATAAAGCATTAAACTGAGAGTCTTGGTCCAAGTGTGAACTCATCGTTTTCTTTAAACATTCATCTTAAACCCCTAGTTCCTTCTAATGGAGAGTTAATTTATTCCTTCATTAGGTAACAGAAAGTTAATTAACAAGTAAAATTTAATCTGATATATGGTAAAGGGAGGATGAGTCTCAAAAATTACCTCCATGATCTTTATGAAGATACTTGTAGAAGGGAATGCAAGATGTCAGCCATTTAGGGTACTTCATTTCCTTAATATTGTGTAATGAATTTTTAATATTCATATTATTTAAGAATTCATGTACTTTATAATATATGAAGTAAGTTTTAAAGACAAGTTTGTTTATTTAATACAGGGAAAGGAAGCAAAGCTTTTCTAAAGAAAATTCTGTTATAAAAACAATAACCAATTTTGATAACATAAATACCATTCTTGCTCCTTTTGTGATCAATTAGGCAAAGTACATCTTTTATTTTCATTATCTATAAGAAAAATATTTGAATACTCTTTCTCTCAAATATTTGAACTTTCTTCCTGAACTCATAAGGTTTCATAAACACATGAGTCATATTTTTAATCATACCCTTTTCAAATTTTCAAAAATTTTCTGGAAAGAGCAGATTAGTTTTTCATGATCACAAGTTCACACCCTCACTTGTGACAAAATATTTTACAGCTTCTTAGAATATTTTTCAATATTTCAATACTTAATATTTAGTTTTCTACCTAATTCAAGAACACACATCAATGTAAAAAATTTAACAGCCATAGTTTGAGAAATTTGTTAATACTGATCATGTTTCTGAGATGTTTAAACAAATATCAAAGTTTTCGTAGGGCATAATATGGCTTGCCTTTGTGAACTCTGCTCAGTATACACAATCAGGTGCTCCATACTTCAAAATAATTATCAAACTCTTTTTACTCATGATGTTTCTATCCTCTGCTCCTCCTATATTCCCCTCCGAAAAGCTGGCAGCAATCTCTATCCTATATAACTCTGAATATTTTACCTGTGTCATTTCATCTAAAGACACTTGTCACTTTCTCTATGTAGAACAAGTTGAAGAAATTACAGAGGAAGATAATCAATTTTAAATATCTCTTTATTTCAGGCACTATATTTGTTACTTAATAAATATAATTTTATTTATTTACATATATAATTATATGGTGAATGTATTATTTTACATAGTAATTTGTGATCTTATTGTTGTATAGTTACACGTTTTGTATATTTAAATATAGCATTTGTTTTTTATTATATTAGTTGTTACATATTACAGTCTTTTAAATTGTCTTTTAAATTACTATCTTATAGATGAGAACACTAAGTTTCATAAATGTTATGAAGAATAACATTAAGCTATGTTCTTTACCTTAACTGATTCTAAAATATAAATTATTTTTATAATATGCTGACTAAAATATACTATGTTGATTTTTGTTATGGTTATGTATGTCCTTCTCTTATGTTGAATTGATAGACCATAAAATAAATGTGAGAAAGATCCATTATATTCATCTTCTACTTTGTAGGGAATGTTGTATGTAGTAAGTAACAACAAAAAAAAAAAAACCAAAACAACAACAACAACACACACACACATAGGAATTGAATACTATACTATATTTTAATTGAATACTGGAATTGATTTTTTGCTAGTAAGTCAAATGAATAAAACAGTAACAGTGAATCCCAGTCAATTGTTCATTCTAGTGGACAATGACCATTATTTCAAAGTCTTCTGTCATGTGACTATGGAGCAAGCAGACATCAGCAGGAACACCATACAATCTTTTGCAGAGAACTTTAAGTTGGAATCCATTCACAGGAATTGTATGATCACTTTGCTAAACTTTAAACAATACTTTGCCAAAGGTTATGGCTTGCTCTCTCTGTTTATCCACAAACACAGGCATATATATGCACAATTTTCATTGAGATCATTCTACTTTGATAACATGGTCTTATGCTATTCCGTGTGTGTTACAAAATTATATGTTTTGGGCAGTCTGTAATTCGTATAAATTCCTGATACTTGATAAGAGGATATAGTATACTCTGATGGGGCAATCTATCCTCATGTCAATACAACAGGTTCTGAAAGCCAGAAATCCTTAAGGTTGCTACCGCTAATCTAATTCTTTTCTTATGTCGTACGAACTTTTCAAGTTACTCAAACTCTTCGAGCAGTTGTTCCTCCTTCTTTGATATGGAAATAATTATAGCACATAGTGAATTGAATATTTTCAAAATAAGAAATGAATGAGATTAACATATGCAAAACACTTTGTAGAGTGTCTATCACATAGAAAGGGCTTAATAAATACTGTCACTATTATTAAAGGCTGTGTATAGATGCAAGATAGGTGTTATTCACCCAGACCAACTTTATTTTTTTCTGGTACCTGGGATTGAACTGGGGAGTTCTCTACCATTGATTCATATCCCCACCCCTGTTTTTATTTTTTACTTTGAGAGAAGGCCTTGCTAAATTGCCTAGGCTGGCCTCAGCCTCCTGGATAACTGAGATTATAGACATGCATAACTGCACTCAGTAGGCTAGTTAGCTTTTGAAGAACATTTTTGGTAAAGTGTGCTTGCATCACCAATTCTCTTTGGGTAGACTGCATTCACTAGCACCATATTCCATTGTTTCCTGAATATATTACTTGCACATATTTTATTCATTTAATTATGTTTCTCAGTGATTAACAAAATAATTTCTTAAACATTATTAGAATAGTAACAAATATTACACTTAGTATATGTACTTCACATTTTTATAATATTCTTCATAATAATCGTACCTGTTAATACTATTATAATAATGTTCAATTATTGCTAATGAAATTATAAGATCTATTAAATATTTTTTAAAAACCCATACAACATTAGCATCCATTCAAGTCTGAGTGAATTCTGGTCCTATCTGAGGTGACAGTAAGTAATCCCAAGTATAGAGTTAAGATATACAAGGGCTTCCATTTAATGGGAAGAAATGAACAATTATAAGGTACAAAAAAAGGGCCAAAGGATCAGGTTCAAGAGAAGGATCAGAGAACAGGAATTATAACCCAAACCAGAGCAAACATTTGAAAGGTAAGACACATTGCTCCCAAACGTGTAATAGCCATAAAATATGGAGCTAATACTTCTAATATCATTCAGCAGAGAGATTGTTCTTATAGGTATCAATGTTGGATTAATATTGAGAAATATCTTTGTCTTTCCCTTTTGTTTGAAAATCAGATAAATTCATTTGCCTCAAGTCTTCTGCATCAGCCACATCATGTTCAACAAAATTCTGCTGTTGTCTCTTCAAATAAATCTCCTAGGAACCACGCTTGGCGGGAACATTCTGATCTGGCCAATGGAAGGTAGTCACTGGCTAAATATTAAGATAATCATAGATGAGCTAATTACGAAACAGCATAATGTGACTGTTCTAGTTGCCTCTGGTGCACTTTTCATCACCCCATCAGTTAGCCCATCTCTGAAATTTGAAAGGTATAAAGTACCCTTCAGCAAAGAAACTATAGAAGGAATGATCAAGAATTTTGTTTTGACTTGGCTGGAACATAGACCATCTCCTTCAACCCTTTGGAGATTCTATCAGGAGATGACCAAAGTCATAGAGGACTTCCATATGGTGTCCAGAGATATTTGTGATGGTGTTCTTAAAAATGAAAAGCTGATGGAAAAGCTGAAGAAAGGCAATTTTGAAGTTCTGGTGTCAGATCCAGTATTTCCTTGTGGTGATATAGTAGCTTTAAAACTGGGAATTCCATTTATTTATTCTTTGAGGTTTTCTCCAGCCTCAACAGTGGAAAAGCACTGTGGTAAAGTTCCATACCCTCCTTCCTATGTTCCTGCTATTTTATCAGAACTCTCCGACAGAATGTCTTTTGCTGACAGAGTAAGGAATTTTATCTCCTACCATCTACAGGACTACATGTTTGAAACTCTTTGGAAATCATGGGATTCCTACTATAGTAATGCTTTAGGTATGTAAAAATTTTTTGTTTTAAGATTTGAATGTGAACAAGCAGAGACTTGAGTCAACTCTTCTTTATGTCCCTATACTATTGTTTCACAGTTCTATATATTGATGTACTATTACTATCACTTGATATCAGGAAAGAAGATAAAAGACATTGCACAGGCATGGTGGCACATGCCTATAATCTCAGCTACACAAAGTCCCAGGTGGTGGATCATAAATTCAAGGCCTGCCTCAGCAACTTAGCAAGACCCTGTCTCAGAATAAAAAATAATAAGTGCTGGGAGTGTATCTCAATGTAGAGCACCTCTGGGTTCAATCCTCCATACCATGTACAACACACACAAAAAAAATATTTGCAACATCAATTACGTAGATAATATATACATGATACAGAAAAAAAAAGGAAGAGAAGGGAGAGAATATATGACAGGGAGAGAATAAAATTCTGAAAAACTTAATAATGCAATACATAAAGAAAATTTTAGACCATAAATATTAGTTTTCCTGCAAAGTATGTGTGGAGAAGGAAACTGTGCCCAGTGTTGGAGACTTCAAATGGCATTGGGCATTACTGATAATTTACTATTTCTGAGGTCAAAATGTGAGGTGGATAGACATGTACAAAAAACAAAAACATGCTAATGACATCAACACAAGAAAGAATGAACTAGTTGGGTGCAATGGCGCATACCTGTAATCTCAGTTCCTCAAGAAGCTGAGGCAGGCAGATCACAAATTTAAAGCCAATGTGGGCAACTTCATGAGACCCTGTCTCCAAATGAAAAATAAAAAGGCCTGGGGAGGTAGCTAAGTGGTAAAATGCCCCTGGGTTCAATCCTCAGTAATGCAAAAAATAAAAAAAAATCAATAAGTATTTTTGAAGTATCTTCTATATTATGCTTAGTACTTCTGTTTGTGTCTAATAAGCAATTGGGAACTGTTTAAAATGATATTTTTATTTTATATAAAATACCTGTACAGATATGGAGACAGAATAGAGAACTTGAGGCTAAGTTATAGCATCACCCCAGGAAAGAGACAGTGAGGGCATGTGTTAAGAAAGTGACTTATAGTGGAAGAGCATTTACCTAGGATGCATGAGGTCCAGGGTTCAACTCCCAGCACCACAAAAACTAAGTAAATAACTATCCCTTGTTATTATTTGGTTTCTTACTACAAATGGCCCTTGATATGAGGTATCTCCCAAAAGGTCATGTGTGAGACAAAGAAAGACAAAGTTTAGAGGTGAAATGATTGGGTTATGAGAGCCTTAACCTAATCAGTGCATTAATCCTCAGATATAGAGTAATTAGGTGTTTCCTGTAAGCACTAGGTTGTGGCTGGAGGAGGTAGATTACTGGGGGCATGTCTTTGGGGTATATATTTTGTGAGCTGAGTTTATTCTCTTTCTGCTTCTTGGTGGCCAAGTCTTAACTTGCTTTTCTCCATCATATTCTTCTACCATGATGTCCTGCCTTACCTTGGGTCCCTAGCAATGGAACTGGCCTGAATACAGACTGAAACCTTTGAAACTGTGAGACCCAAATAAAATTTTCTTCCTCTAAAAAATAAAACAAAAAAGTAACTTACAAATGGAGAAAAATAACATGGTATGAGACTGTAGTCATAGAATTATGAAGGAGTCTACTTTTTAAATTTATTTTTTATTTTTTATTCTAATTTATTATATATGAAGGGAGAATGCATTACAACTCATATTCCACATATGCAGCACAATTTTCACATTTATGGTTCTATGCAAAGTATATTCACACGATTCGTGTCTGCATACATGAACTTAGTGTAATGATGTCCATCTCATTTCATCGTCTTTTCTACCCTCATAACCTCTCCTTTCTCCTCCCTCCCCTTTTCCCTTTGCCCTATCTATAAATTCATCTAATCCTCCCATGTTCCCTGTCCCCAGATTATGAATCAGCAACCTTAAATCATAGAAAACATTTGGTATTTGTTTTTTTGGGGATGGGCTAAAAACACTTAGCATTATATTCTCCAGCTCCATCCATTTACCTGCAAATACCATGATTTTATTATCTTTTATTGCTGAGCAATATTCCACTGTATATATATACCACTTTTGTTTATCCATTCATATACTGAAGGGCATCTAGGCTGTTTCCACAGTATAGCTATTGTGAATTGTGCTGTGATAAGTATTGATGTGGCTGTGTGTCTGTAGTATGCTGTTTTTTTGTGCCCTTTGGGTATAGACCAAGGAGTGGGATAGCTGGGTCAAATGGTGGTTTCATTCCTAGTTTTCCAGGGAATCTCCATACTGCTTTCCAATGCTGCACCATTTTGCAGTCCCACCAACAATGCATGAGTGTACCTTTCCATCCTCACCAACACTTATTGTTGTTTGTATTCTTAATAGCTGCTATTCTGACTGGAATGAGATGAAATCTTAGAGTATTTTTGATTTGCATTTCTCTAATTGCTAGAGATGTTCAACATTTTTTCATATATTTGTTGATTAATTGTATATCATCTTCTGAGAAGTTTCTATTCAGTTCCTTGGCCCATTTATGGATTGGATTATTTGGGTTTTTGGTGTTTAGCATTTTGAGTTCTGTATTTACCTTAGAGATTAGTGCTCTATCTGATGTGCAAGTGGTAAAAATTTGCTCCCATTCTGTAGGCTCTCTATTCACCTCACTGATTATTTCTTTTGCTGAGGAGAATCTTTTTAGTTTGAATCCATCCCATTTATTAATTCTCGATTTTAATTTGTGTGCTATAGGAGTCTTATTAAGGAAGTAGGGGCCCAATCCAATATGATGGAGATTTAGGCCTACTTTTTCTTTTATTAGACTCAGGGTCTCTGGTTTAATTCCTAGGTCCTTGATTGACTTTGATGTGAGTTTGTGCATGGTGAGAGATAAGGGTTTAATTTCATTTTGTTGCATGTGGATTTCCAGTTTTCCTAGCACCATTTGTTGAAAAGGCTATATTTTCTCCAATGTATGTTTTTTTTGGCATCTTTGTCTAATATAAGATAACTGTAATTACATGGGTTAGTCTCTTTGTCCTCTATTCTATACCATTGTTGCCAATACTATGATGTTTTTGTTACTATTGCTCTGTAGTATAGTTTAAGGTATGGTATGGTGATGCCACCTGCTTCACTCTTCCTGCTAAGAATTGCTTTAGCTATTCAGGGTCTCTTATTTTCCCAGATGAATTTCATGATTGCTTTTTCTATTTCTATGAGAAATGTCAGCAGGATTTTGATTGGAATTGCATTAAATCTGTATAATGCTTTTGGTAGTATGGTCATTTTGATAATATTAATTCTGCCTATCTGAGAACAAGGGAGATCTTTTGTTCTTCTAAGGTCTTCTTTAATTTCTTTCTTTAGTGTTCTGTAGTTTTCATTGTAGAGGACTTTTACCTCTTTTGTTAGGTTGATTCCCAAGTTATTTTTTTTTTGCTTGTTTGTTTGTTTTGTTTTATTTTTTCACAGATACACAGAAATGCCTTTGATTTATGGGTGTTGATTTTATATCCTGCTACTTTGCAAATTCATTTACTAGTTCTAGAAGTTTTCTTTGAAATGTTTTGGGTCTTCTAGGTACAGAATCTCATATTGTTGAAAAATAGTGCTAATTTTAGTTCTTCTTTTCCTATTTGTATCCCCTTAATTTATTTTGTATGTCTAATTATTCTGGCCAGTTTTTCAGAACTATGTTAAATAGAAGTGGTAAAAGAGGGCACCTTGTCTTGTTCCAGATTTTAGAGGGAATACTTTTAATTTTTCTCTATTTAGAATGATGTTGGCCTTGGGCTTAGCATAGATAGATTTTACAATGTTGAGATATGTTCCTGTTATCCCTAGTTTTTCTAGTGTTTTGAACATGAAGGAGTGCTGTATTTGTCGAACACTTTTTCTGCATCAATTGAAATGATCATATCATTCTTATATTTAAGTCAATTGATGTGATGAATTACATTTATTGATTTCTGTATGTTGCACCAAACTTGCATCCGTGGGGTGAACCCTACTTGATCATGGTGCATGATCTTTTTGATATGTTTTTGTATTAAATTTGCCAGAATTTTATTGAGAATTTTTGCATCTATGTTCATTAGAGATGTTGGTCTGAAGTTTTCTTTCTTTGATGTGTCTTTGCCTGGTTTTGGAATCAGGGTGATATTGGCCTCATAAAATGAGTTTTGAAGTGATCCCTCTTTTTTCTGTTTCCTAAAATAAATTAAAGAGTATTGGTATTAGCTCTTCTTTAAAGGTCTTTTAGAACTCGGCTGTGTATTATGCCTTCCTAGCCACTGGGATTACCAGCATGTGCCATCATGCCCAGCTTGGTTTATTTTATTTCTAACAGAATTCTAAAAGGACTAAATTAATTAATCCATGATGGAATTTTAGAATAAAATCTGAGAAATACTAACCATTCAATTAGTGTTAGCTTTTTTTTAGGTCTAATTAATTAAAACCAATGGCTACTTAATGAGGATTGTTAAGAGGGATGAAGAAGAAATTAAAATTGATTCAATATTTTTGACTTCAGTAAGTGATAAACGGTGCAAATCACTCAGGATGTGAATATAGGAGAGAGACAATTCAAGAAAAGAAATAACACATTTAACTTTGTACATGTTGCTGGGCACAGTGGTGCATGTTTATGATCTCAGTAACTGGGGAGGCTGAGGTAGGAGGATTGCAGGTTCAAGGCCAGCCTGGGCAACTTAACAGGTCCCTGAGACAGTCTCAGTGAGACCCTGAGATTCTGTCACTGGAATGGAGTCCAGTGGTGGAGTGTTTACCTAATCTGTGTGAGACCTAGGTTCAATCCCTAGATTAACAACAACTAAAAAAAATGTAAATAAATGTTGTGCATGTGATACTTATGGGAATATTTGGTGAAATCCAATAAGCAATTGTTAGGTGGGGTGAAATCTGAGGAAATGTAATGGGTTAGAGATTTAAGTATTATCTGTATAAGAATGGTACATATGCACTTT